AAACAGTGCTAATAGTACCTCAAAAGTAATATTAATCAAAAAATAACTATTGACCATGCCAAAAGAGTTGAAAAGGAAAGTTTTGAGTGAGGAAAAAAGGGTTCAATTCTGGCTTTACTGGCAGAGGGATACAGTGAGCATCAGGTTGCTTCCATCCTTAAAATTTCAAAGACGGCGGTTCATAAGAACAAGGTCAAGCAGCAGACATTGGGGACAACAAAGCTACAGACCGGCAGAGGGCGAAAACGACTCTCTACTGACCGGGATGACCGCCAACTCATTCGAATGTCACTCAACAACCGTAGGATGACATCAAGTGACCTACAAAAATAATGGCAAACGGCAGCTGGGGTGAAGTGCACAGCGAGGACGGTTCGAAACAGGCTCCTAGGGGCAGGGCTGAAGTCGTGCAAAGCTAGAAAAAAGCCCTTCATCAATGAAAAGCAAAGAAGAGCCAGGCTGAGGTTTGCAAAATACCATAGGGATTGGACGTAGAGGACTGGAGTAAGGTCACCTTCTCTGAGTCCAATTTTCAGCTTTGCCCAACACCTGGTCGTCTAATGGTTAGATGGAGACCTGGAGAGGCCTACAAGCCACAGTGTCTCACACCCACTGTGAAATTTGGTGGAGGATCGGTGATGATCTGGGGGTGCTTCAGCAAGGCTGGAATCGGGCAGATTTGTCTTTGTGAAGGACGCATGAATCAAGCCACGTACAAGGTTGACCTGGAAGAACTTGCTTCCTTTTGCTCTGACATTGTTCCCCAACTCTGAGGATTGGTTTTTCCAGCAGGACAATGCGCCATGCCACACAGCCAGGTCAATCAAGGTGTGGATGGAGGACCACCAGATCAAGACCCTGTCATGGCCAGCCCAATCTCCAGACCTGAACCAAATTGAAAACTTCTGGAATGTGATCAAGAGGAAGGTGGATGGTCACATGCCATCAAACCAAGCCGAGCTGCTTGAATTTGTGCGACAGGAGTGGCATAAAGTCACCCAACATCAATGTGAAAGACTGGTGGAGAGCATGCCAAAACGCATGAAAGCTGTGATTGAAAATCAGGGTTATTCCATGAAATATTGATTTCTGAAGTCTTCCTAAGTTAAAACATTACTATTGTGTTGTTTAAAAATGAAAACACGATCTTATTTTATTTGCATTATTCAAGGTTTGACAACACTGCATCTTTTTTGTTTGTTTTACCAGTTGTCATTTTCTGCAAATAAATGCTCTAAATGACAATACTTTTGGGGGGAATTTGGGAGAAATGTTATCAGTAGTTTATAGAATAAAACAAAAATGTTATTTTTACCCAAACACATACCTATAAATAGTAAAACCAGAGAAACTGATAATTTTGCAGTGGTCTCTTAATTTTTTCCGCAGCTGTATGTATATGTGTGTATATGTATGTATGTATGTATTTATGTATGTGTGTATATATGTGTATGTAATTTTCATCATAGGTACACGTCAACTATGACAGACAAAATGAGAAGAAAAAATCCAGAAAATCACATTGTAGGATTTTTAATGAATTTATTTGCAAATTATGGTGGAAAATAAGTATTTGGTCAATAACAAAAGTTTCTCAATACTTTGTTATATACCCTTTGTTGGCAATGACACAGGTCAAACGTTTTCTGTAAGTCTTCACAAGGTTTTCACACACTGTTGCTGGTATTTTGGCCCATTCCTCCATGCAGATCTCCTCTAGAGCAGTGATGTTTTGGGGCTGTCGCTGGGCAACACAGACTTTCAACTCCCTCCAAAGATTTTCTATGGGGTTGAGATCTGGAGACTGGCTAGGCCACTCCAGGACCTTGAAATGCTTCTTACGAAGCCACTCCTTCGTTGCCCGGGCGGTGTGTTTGGGATCATTGTCATGCTGAAAGACCCAGCCACGTTTCATCTTCAATGCCCTTGCTGATGGAAGGAGGTTTTCACTCAAAATCTCACGATACATTGCCCCATTCATTCTTTCCTTTACACGGATCAGTCGTCCTGGTCCCTTTGCAGAAAAACAGCCCCAAAGCATGATGTTTCCACCCCCATGCTTCACAGTAGGTATGGTGTTCTTTGGATGCAACTCAGCATTCTTTGTCCTCCAAACACGACGAGTTGAGTTTTTTACCAAAAAGTTCTACTTTGGTTTCATCTGACCATATGACATTCTCCCAATCCTCTTCTGGATCATCCAAATGCACTCTAGCAAACTTCAGACGGGCCTGGACATGTACTGGCTTAAGCAGGGGGACACGTCTGGCACTGCAGGATTTGAGTCCCTGGCGGCGTAGTGTGTTACTGATGTTAGGCTTTGTTACTTTGGTCCCAACTCTCTGCAGGTCATTCACTAGGTCCCCCCGTGTGGTTCTGGGATTTTTGCTCACCGTTCTTGTGATCATTTTGACCCCACGGGGTGAGATCTTGCGTGGAGCCCCAGATCGAGGGAGATTATCAGTGGTCTTGTATGTCTTCCATTTCCTAATAATTGCTCCCACAGTTGATTTCTTCAAACCAAGCTGCTTACCTATTGCAGATTCATTCTTCCCAGCCTGGTGCAGGTCTACAATTTTGTTTCTGGTGTCCTTTGACAGCTCTTTGGTCTTGGCCATAGTGGAGTTTGGAGTGTGACTGTGAGGTTGTGGACAGGTGTCTTTTATACTGATAACAAGTTCAAACAGGTGCCATTAATACAGGTAACGAAAAATCCTACAATGTGATTTTTCTGGAATTTTTTTCCTCAATTTGTCTGTCATAGTTGACGTGTACCTATGATGAAAATTACAGGCCTCTCTCATCTTTTTAAGTGGGAGAACTTGCACAATTGGTGGCTGACTAAATACTTTTTTTCCCCACTGTATATATGTATGTGTTAATATATATACATATATGTATGTGTTAATATATATATAATAATAATATGCCATTTAGCAGACGCTTTTATCCAAAGCGACTTAGTCATGTGCGCATACATTTTTACGTATTGGTGGTCCCGGGGATCGAACCCACTACCCTGGCGTTACAAGCGCCATGCTCTACTAATTGAGCTACAGAGGACCACATACACACATACATATATATGTGTTAATATATGTATATATATGTGTTGTATATATGTATGTGTTAATATATACATATATGTATGTGTTAATATATATATATGTGTGTGTGGACACCCCTACAAATTAGTGGATTTGGGTGTATAAAATCGAGCAGACAGCCATGCAATCTCCATAGACAAATATTGGCAATAGAATGGACTTTCAACGTGGCACCGTCATAGGATGCCACCTTTTCAACAAGTTAGTTTGTCAAAGGGCTTCCCCGGTCAACTGTAAGTGCTCTTATTGTGAAGTGGAAACTTCTAGGAGCAACAACAGCTCAGCCATGAAGTGGTAGGCCACACAAGCTCACAGAATGGGACCGTCGGATGCTGAAGCGCGTAGCACGTAAAAATAGTATTTGCCACACACAAGCCGAAGAGCACCATGCGCAATGCCAAGCGTCGGCTGGGGTGGTGTAAAGCTCGCCGCCATTGGACTCTGGAGCAGTGGAAACGTGTTCTCTGGAGTGATTCACCATCTGGCAGTCCGATGGACGAATCTGGGTTTGACGGATGCCAGGGGAACGCTACCTGCCCCAATGTATAGTGTCAACTGTAAAGTATTTTGGAGGAGGAATAATGGTCTGGGGCTGTTTTTCATGGTTTGGGCTAGACCCCTTAGTTCCAGTGAAGGGAAATCTTAACGCTACAGTATACAATGACAGTCTAGATTAGATTGTGGTAAATTCCAACATTGGTTGGCAACAGTTTGAGGAAGGCCCTTTCCTGTTTCAGCATGACAATGCCCCCGTGCACAAAGTGAGGTCCATACAGAAATGGTTTGTTGATCAGTATGGAAGAATTTGACTGGCTAGCACAGAGTCCTGACCTCAACCCCATCGAATGCATTTGGGATGAATTGCAACGCCGACTGCGAGCCAGGCCTAATCGCCCAACAGCAGTCCCCGACCTCACTAATGCTCTTGTGACTGAATGGAAACAAGTCCCTGCAGCAATGTTCAAACATCTAGTGGAAAGCGTTCCCAGAAGAGTGGAGGCTGTTATAGCAGCAAAGGGGGGACGTACATCCCATTAATGTCCATTATCTTGGAATGTGTGTTTGTTGTCATGTGGTAGCAGCATTTGACTGGTAGTGCCAGGCAGTTGTGACTAAATGTATGTGCCGCATTTGGGACTGAGTTGTAATGCCGACTGGAGGCAGTGTATTGCCAGCGCAGTCCTGACTGATGTGATGTGCCCATTAGTGACTGAGATGGAACAGTGCCGAGCAGTTAGGACTAAGTGTTAGTGCCAGGCGTTTACCTAAGAGTGGTAGTAGGCATGTTAGTGACAAGAGTGGTATTGCAGGGTAGTGACTAGATGTGTATGTGCCAGCAGTTTGTATAAAGGTGTATGTCCGGCATTGGCAGGTGTGTAATGTGCCAGCAGTTTGTGACTAGAGTGTATGTGCAGTGGTTCACCTGAGTGTTATGTGCCAGGCAGTTAGTGACTGAGTGTGTATGTGCCAGTTGGTGTGTGTGTGTATTGGATTAGTCCAGGCAGTCTGGTAGTGGTGACGGCATTGCAGGCGTCAGGGCAGGCTTGGTGTAGCGGTGATAAGGTTAGACCTGCTCTGCCTAGGTCTCCTTCCAGATGATGGGCTGCTTCCCAAATGGCACCCTATTCCATATACTTTATAGTGCACTACTTTTGGCTCTGGTCAAAAGTAGTGCACAATGTAGGGAATAGGGTGCCATTTGGCCACTGCCGAGATGTTCCAGCATTGTGGCTAATGACCACATTTCCTCCCAGATGCCTGGAGATGGGGCCTATTACAGACACACATCAGATTAAGCGATTGCGTGCCGATTTTAGACCATTTTAATCCGTTTTCCCCTCTGCCTGTCTCTCTGTCTTTCTCTCTTTCCCTCTCCTTGGTTTGGGCCCACAGTGAAATGGATATCTGGATCCCTCAGCCTTTCCACGCCGAGGTGCCCGCCGATTGGTGGGACAGCGAGGCAGACAAATCGCTGCTCATCGGCGTCTTCAAACACGGTAAGCCCCCCCCCCCCGCTGCTTCGGCTTCACTGGTGTTCCCATAGCGACCACAGAGCACAGCTGGCTGTGAGACACCAGGAGATTGATTGATGGCCATAGGAGATTGATTGATGGCCGTGTCCAGCCGCCCAAGAAGAGGCTGTCGAGGTGTGTGTGGACCTGTTCTAATCTATCTAGTTCATGGTTAGCCAGTGTTTTATCACCACAGTTGGTTGATGCACTTCTCTGTATGATCTAGCTGGTTTAGATTGGACCATTTTAATTGTATTACTGTGCCAAACAAGATTACAAGACAGAATTGTAATGATCTAGTAGTGGCAATTGTATTGATGGTGATTAATATTAATTTGGGATAATTGTCATTATTCTCTAATTGCCACCCCGTGCCTCAGCCCTGACGCGCGCACGCACACACACACACACACACACACACACACACACACACACACACACACACACACACAGGCGCTGTCTCAAACACACATAGATACAATAGAGCTAGCTTATAGTTAATCATAATCCTCATTCACTTGGGAGGCCTGGGGAGGAAGCTGCTCTCTGCCTCACACCGTACAAACACACACTGCCTAACTCACTCATGCACCGCACACACTGTCTCACACACACACACACACTCTCACATGCACCGCACACACTCTCCAGGACTGTGAGAGGGAAGAGTGATGGCCTATAAACCCCCTCATGATTAGCGCTTTGCTCGGGGCGCAGCGGCGGTTAGGAACAATGTGTCACCGCATAAATCCTAATTGAAATGTGATGTTCTGCCGGGGGCTTTGGGGAGAGGGGGGAGATGGAAGGAGAGGGCGGCGGCTGATGGTCTGGTCTGCTCACTGTTGTCCAGCCTGTGCTTCTCTCCCTCCTCCCACCCGCCGTGCTTAGTGGGATCTGCAGGCTCTAATCTGTTCTGCTTGGACAGCTCCAACGGGCACTTCTCTCTCTCGTTCGCTCACACGCACACACACTTGGGCAAAGGCGCGCACACACTTGGGCAAAGGCGCACACACACACACACACTTAGACACAAAGATTTTCTTGCACACACACCCACTGAGACACCCAGTCAGACACACACTCCAACAGGCGCTGCCCTCTGTCTGCATCTGGGCCCTGGGGTCGGGCTTTCTGTTTTCTCTCCTCTTCATCTCCGTTTGATACGGATACGGCAGTTGGGTTTTATTCTGATTCTGAACTTCATAATGGTTTAGTTTTAACACTATTTGTTTGCAAGCGGGTCCTTTTGGCTTGGTCTTGCATCTTTCATGATTGATGCTTAGATATTTTCCATTTGAATTGTCAGTCAAACTGGGCTCAGTTCTTGGCCTTGTTCCTGTGCATTTATATTCCCAGTCATAATAATTAAATAATCTCTCACCCACCCTCTCTTCTCCTCCCCGGATGTGAAAAGTTGAACTCTGTAATTCAATCACTGTCTTACCCATTTTCTCTCATCCTCTCCTGTCTTTTTCCATCTTCCTGACTCTCTTCCTGTCTGTCTATCCAGGCTACGAGAAGTATAACTCTATGCGTGCTGACCCTGCGCTGTGTTTCCTGGAGCGAGTGGGCATGCCCGACGCCAAGGCCATCGCTGCAGAGCAGAGGGGGGCGGACATGATGGCAGATGGTCCGGAGGGGTAAGACACTCAGCCAAAATTCACCACCACACCTCCTCTTTCTTTTCGACCTCCTGTCTCTCACTCTCCATGTTTTCATCCTTTCTCTCCCACCACCTCTTTTCTTTTTATCCCGGCCTCCTGTCTCCCTCATCTTTCCATCTTCTCTGCCTTTCTCTTCCTGTGTTCCTCTCTTTTTATCCCGGCCTCCTGTCTCCCTCATCTTTCCATCTTCTCTGCCTTTCTCTTCCTGTGTTCCTCTTTTTTTCTCTGCTCCTTTGTTTGATTCTGTTTTTAAGTTGAAGACTAATTTCTCACTCTTCTGTCTCTCTTTCTCTCCATCCCTGGTTCTTTGTGTCTACAGAGAGGATGAGGACCCAGAGTACAAGCCTCTCCGCATGCCCTTTAAAGATGAGATGGAGGACTTCACTAACTCGCCCCTGGAAGACAAAGAGGAAGCTGTGGACGTTGAGAGTGGTGAATGTAAGTGGATGACTGGCGATCTAGGCTGGCTAGCTTTGTCATTATATAACAAAACACCACCATTTGGGATAAGTTGAATAAAAAGGTTGAAAATAACATTTGCTAGCAATCTGATACAAATCAGGAGAGGATTTACTATCCATCAGTCCATCATTTAAATGATTCATTTAAACATTTCTATTTTATATATAAAACCACCGATGTGCGCATCCAAAGAAACCAGAGTTGCTCTTCAGAATCATCTCCAACAGTATGCAGACAAATGTAGTAGTCCTAGTCCTAATATTCCACCTTCTCCTCCCAGCTAAACCAGGTGAGAATGTAGCAGGCAGCAGAGGGGCGGGTCGTCTGTACTGGCCGGCGGCCTCAGTCCTCACCGCTAGACTCCGCCGCCTCATCACGGCCTACCAGCGCACACACAAAAGGGAGCAGCTCCGCCAGGAGGCCATGGCCCGGCCCGACGGACGCCGCCGCCGCCGGCCCCGAGAACAACTCTTCTCCCTGGTCACAGATGGAGGAGGGGCCTACGTGCAGGAGGATGTAGCCTTCATGGCAGAGGGAAGTCCTTATATGGCCAAGGGCGGAGCTTTTATGCCTGAGGCGACGGCACTCCTGGCGGAAGGAGGGGCCTTCTTCAAAGAGAGGCGTCAGAGGTATGGAAACATTGAATGGTTTGATTTATTAGATGTTTTATAGGCACACTTCCATCCAGATCTCTTATGACATGCTGTACAAGATAAACAATATGAACAGTTTATGATCACTTGTGTATAATAAACAGTACAATTTGTTAGCCTGCTGTATAGAAGGCGTTACAGTCGAGAGCTTCTTGTAGTTCTATCAACTGTTCCTGTACGATTGTTTGAGAAGCCATGCTTTTAACATGATGTACTACAGTACCCATAATGCTCCAGTCTCCTTATCAATACACTACTCATGCATTGCTTTCTGTCCCATTGGTTGTTGGATTAACCCTTCCCTTGTCTCGTTCCCTGAGATGGACCAGGCGTGAGGAATCAGACTTCTACCGGGTGGTGTCCACCTTTGGCGTGATCTATGACACGGACCGCCAGCGCTTTGACTGGACCCAGTTCAGGGCCTTCGCCCGGCTGGACAAGAAGAGTGACGAGAGCCTGGAGAAATACTACTTCTCCTTCGTGGCCATGTGCAAGCGGGTGTGTCGCATGCAGGTCAAGGCCAACACAGGTAAGGGCCCTCAATTATCTAGTTCTGATGTGTCTCCGTACAACAACCCTCACTCATAGTTAAATTTGCTTGCGCTAAAGCAAAGGACCTTTCCCTGAAAAGACAGATGAACAACTATTTTCCTTTCTCACCACCTCTCTCTTTATCCCCTCTGTTTTCCATTCCCCATCTCTCTCTCCCTCCCTCCCCCCACCCTCTTCCTCCCTCCCTCCCCCCACCCTCTTCCTCCCTCCCTCCACCCTCTTTCTCCCTCCCTCCCCACACCCTCTTCCTCCCTCCCTCCCTACCTCCTCCCTCCCTATCCCCTTCCTCCTTACCCCCACCCTCTTCCACCCTCCCCCCTTCCTCCTTACCCCCACCCTCTTCCACCCTCCCCCCTTCCTTACCCCCACCCTCTTCCACCCTCCCCCCTTCCTCCCTACCCCCACCCTCTTCCACCCTCCCCCTTCCTCCTTACCCCCACCCTCTTCCTCCCTCCCTCCCCCCCACCCTCTTCCTCCCTCCCTCCCCCCCACCCTCTTCCTCCCTCCCTCCCTACCTCCTCCCTCCCTATCCCCTTCCTCCTTACCCCCCACCCTCTTCCACCCTCCCCCTTCCTCCTTACCCCCACCCTCTTCCACCCCTCCCCCCTTCCTCCCTTACCCCCACCCTCTTCCCACCCTCCCCCCTTCCTCCCTACCCCCACCCTCTTCCACCCTCCCCCCTTCCTCCCCTACCCCCCACCCTCTTCCACCCTCCCCCTTCCCTCCTTACCCCCACCCTCTTCCCACCCTCCCTCCCTACCCCCCCACCCTCTTCCACCCTACAACCCACCCTCTTCCACCCTACACCCACCCTCCCTCCCTACACCCACCCTCTTCCTTCCTCCCCCCCACCCTCTTCCTCCCTTCCCCCACCCCCACCCCCCTCCCTTCCCCTACCCTCTTCCCCCCCCACCCTCTTCCTCCCCCCCTCCTTACCCCCACCCTCTTATTCCTTACCTACCCCCACCCTCTTCCTCCCCCCCTCCCTACCCCCCACCCTATTCCTCCCTCACTCTCTTTTCTGTCTGGCAGAGCTCCCAGACCCTACCCTGATAATCGACCCCATCACGGAGGAGCGCGCCTCGCGCACCCTCTATCGCATCGAGCTGTTGCGCCGCATCCGTGAGCAGGTGCTGCCCCACCCCCTGCTGGGCGAGCGCCTGCGCCTCTGCCAACCCAGCTCAGACCTGCCTGAGTGGTGGGACTGCGGCCGGCACGACCGCAACCTCCTCCTGGGCGCCTCCAAGCACGGCGTGAGCCGCACTGACTACCACATCCTCAACGACACTGCGCTGGGCTTCCTGGAGGCCCACAGGAAGTTCACCCAGGGGGGATCGGCTGGGGTGCCTCAGCCGCCCCGTGATGGAGCTCCCTCCACTGCTTCTCCCTCCTCCACTGAGCAGGCCACAGCTACTGCTGGTGCTGAGAAATCCTTACCTGTCAAAGAGGAGGAAGGTGAGGAAGAAGGGAAGGAGATGAAAGAGGAAGGTGACGACGACATTCCATGTACTAAAACCGAGAAACCAGACGAAGGCAAGGAGGAAGAAATGGAGGCGGAGAAGGAAGGTAAGGCTGGGTCTCCCAAGAAGGTGAAGGAGGAGGAAGAGAAGGGAGAGGCGAAAGAGAAAGAGGAGAAAATGAAGGTCAACGGCAATGCTGACGGAGAGACTTCCATGGAGGCCAATGCTGACGGAGAGACTTCCATGGAGGCCAATGCTGACGGAGAGACTTCCATGGAGGCCAATGCTGACGGAGAGACTTCCATGGAGGCCAATGCTGACGGAGAGACTTCCATGGAGGCCAATGCTGACGGAGAGACTTCCATGGAGGCCAAACCTGAGAAGGAGTACAAAGCTCCCACTGAGGAGACCAAGGACCAGTACAAAAAGCTGGAATTCCAGGAGAAACCAGAGTCTCCTAAAGCATCAGAAAACCAGGAAACCAAGAAGGAAGAGCGAGAGGAGAAAGAAGGAAGCCCAGCCAAGTCTCCCAAGTCTCCTAAACCAGTGGCTGAGAAAGGCCCCGAAGAGGAGGATGAGGAGAAGATGGAGGAAGACGACAAGTCTGAGAAGTCCTCTCAAGCTGAAGGTAGGTCCTACTTCTAATTCTATTGCTTAAATAAGGCTTTTCACAAGGGAAAAGTGAGTCTGTAAAAGTCTAGACAATAAACAGTTGGGCCATGCAAGTGCATCATTCATAACTACTGCTTTATGTTGAAGCCAGCCACAACACAGTTGGTGGCTGTGTGTAGTTGGTCTTCTTTAGATGGCATTTAGAAAGGACTACATGGCTGTGTATTTGTATACTTAAGCTGCTTAGGCTTGCGTTGAGGACACACTGTATGGCCCTTGTAGTATTCTGCTGTGTCTAGTATTAAGTACTATATATGAAGCCATTTGTAGATTCTCCTGTGGCTGGTATTGACTAAGCACGTGTCGTTTTTCAGCGGGCGCCACCTCGGAGCAGAAGAACTTTGACGAGGAGAGCAACGCCTCACTGAGCACCACTGCCAGAGACGAGACCCGCGATGGGTTCTGCCCCGAGGACGGAGAACCCTCAGCCATCCAGGCCCTCCAGGAGAGAACCACCTCCTCCTTCTGGCCTAAGGTTGGTAGAAAACGTATATACATTCAGTCAGATATACATTCTCATATTTATTAATGTAGTTGTGAAATATATAAACACACAAATGAAAACACACGTCATGTTGACCATTGAGAAGAACAAAATATACAAATAGATATATATTTTTAACATATTTATTCAAATACATAAAAACACACACATTGTGGGGACTGTCGGTGGACCGTAGGCGCACACTATAAACACAGTGTACAAAACATTAAGAACACCTGCTCTTTCCATGACAGACTGACCAGGTGAAGGCTATGATCCCTTATCGATGTCACTTGTTAAATCCACTTCAATCAGTGTAGATGAAGGGGAGGAGACTGGTTAAGGAAGGATATTTAAGCCTTGAGACAATTGAGACATGGCTTGTGTATGTGTGCCATTGAGGGTGAATGGGCAAGACAAAATATTTAAGTGCCTTTAAACGGGGTATGGTAGTAGGTGCCAGGCGCACCGGTTTGTGTCAAGAACTGCAACGCTGCTTGGTATCAAGAATGGTCCACCACCCAAAGGACATCCAGCCAACTTGACACAACTGTGGGAAGCATTGGAGTCAACATGGGCCAGCATCCTTGTGGAACGCTTTCGACACCTTTTAGAGTCCATGCCCCGACAAATTGAGGCTGTTCTGAGGGCAAAGGGGGGGCGCAACTCAATATTAGGAAGGTGTTCCTAATGTTTGGTATACTCGGTGTACATAAAGTACTCCTTGGACAGAGTGTTAAAGGGATACTTCAATATTTTGGCAATGAAGCCCGTTATCTTCTTCCCCAGAGTCAGGTGAACTCGTGGCTATCATTTTTATGTCTACGCGTGCAGTTTGAAGGAAGTTGCTAACTAGCATTAGCGTAACTGCTAGCATGCTAGTAGATCAACTATATATACAAAAGTATGTGGCCACCCCTTCAAAATAGTGGATTAGGCTATATCAGCCACACCCATTGCTGACAGGTGTATAAAATCAACCACACAGCCATGCAATCTCCATAGACAAACATTGGCAATAGAATGGCCTTACTGAAGAGCTCAGTGACTTTCAACGTGGCACCGTCATAGGATGCCACCACCTCAAATTTCTGCCCTGCTAGAGCTGCCCCGGTCAACTGTAAGTGCTGTTATTGTGAAGTGGAAACGTCTAGGAGCAACAACGGCTCCGCCGCGAGGTGGAAGGCCACACAAACTCACGTAACGGGACCGCCGAGTGCTGAAGCACGTAGTGTGTAAAAATCGTCTGTCCTCTGTTGCAACACTCACTACTGCGTTCCAAACTACGTCTGGAAGCAACGTCCGCACAAGAACTGTTCGTCGGAAGCTTCATGAAAAGGGTTTCCATGGCCGAGCAGCCGCACACAAGCCTAAGATAACCAGGCACAATGCCAAGCGTCAGCTGGAGTGGTATAAAGCTCGCCACCATTGGACTCTGGAGCAGCGGAAACTCATTCTCTGGAGTGATGTATCACTCGTCACCATCTGGCAGTCCGACGGAAGAATCTGGGTTTGGCGGATGCCAGGAGAACGCCACCTACCCCAATGCATAGTGCCAACTGTAAAGTTTGTTGGAGGAGAAATAATGGTTTGGGCTAGGCCCCTTAGTTCCAGTGAAGGGAAATCTTAACGCTACAGCATATAATGACATTCTAGACGATTCCAACTTTGAGGCAACAGTTTGGGGAAGGCCCATTCCTGTTTCAGCATGACAATGCCACTGTGCACAAAGAGGTCCATACAGAAATAGTTTGTCGATCGGTGTGGAAGAACTTGACTGGCCTACACAGAGCCCTGACCTCAACCCTATTGAACACCTTTGGGATGAATTGGAACGCCGACTGCGAGCCAGGCCTAATCGCCCAACATCAGTGCCCAACCTAACTAATGCTCTTGTGGCTGAATGGATGCAATGTTCCAACATCTAGTGGAAAGCCTTCTCATAAGACTGGAGGCTGTTATAGAAGCAAAGGGGGGACCAACTACATATTAACGCCCATGATTTTGGAATGAAGTTTTCGCCGAGCAGGTGTCCACATACTTTTGTAATGTAGTGTACCATAGACGTCCCGTCATTGCCATTAGCGACTTCCTACAACTGCACGTATAGACGTAAAAATGGTATCCACGAGTTCATCTGACTCTGGGGAAGTAGATAAAGGGCTTCATTGCCAAAATACCGACGTATCCCTTTAAGTTCTGTATTGATATAACACAGAAATCAGTTTATGTAAAGAAAAACAAGCGAAAAGCCCTGTTCAAGTCAGACCTCACTCCATCATGAAAGTACTTGTCCAGTCCTCTAGTGGGATTGTATAAAAAGTTCCAACCCCTTCTCTAGAATTAACCCATTCATCTCTGCTCTGTCTCGACCTTCCAGGACCGTGTGATGATCAATCGCATGGACAACATCTGTGATGCGGTCATCAAGGGCAAGTGGCCCGCCAACCGACGTCAGTTCTTCGATTTCCCAGGCCTGTTGCCTGGATACCCCGGCCCCATGGTGTCTGAAAGCCCCACGCAGAGGCGGAGCCTGGCTGAACTGTCGACGGCAGCGGCCGCTCAGACCAGCTTCAGCGGCAGCGAGGACCTCACCCACTCGCCCCAGGTTAATGTAAGTCGCTAGCTATGCCCCCGAAACCGCTAACCGAAGACTCTATCCCTGCCCTCCCAAGGTAGATTTAGTTTGTTCTGACTGCACAATTTATCAAAATATTAGTCCTTAACAATAAATTGATTTAAGTTAATCAACAATCTCTCCCTCCTTCCCTCTCTTCTTCCCTTCGTACAGGAGGATGCTCTGAGCATATTGCCGAAGCAGCGTCGTCGCAGGCGGAGGAAGGTGGAGATAGAGGCAGAGCGTGCAGCCAAGCGCAGGAACCTGATGGATATGGTGGCCCAGCTCAGAGAGTCTCACGCTGCAGAGTCCCAGAGCCAGGCCATGGATCTTACCAAGGCAGGGTCTTTAGAATTATGAATGAATACTAAATTCAGAAATTAGAATTATGCATAACTTTTTACAACTGCATTGTATAATTTTTTTAATTATAGTTTTGGGTCAGGTCCCTGAATTTTTTATTTTTTTTTTAAATCTTTTTAATCTCAATGGGATCACGTGTATGAGTAAAATGGATCCCATTAAAATATAATGTATTATATATCATAACATCTATTTATATAAGTTAATCAAATATGTAAAGCACTATGGACTGTATTCTATTAAAGTTGCCATATAAGTATTGTATTTTAGTCTATTAATTGACTCCTAAAAGTTTCCATACCTTTTATTCTTCTCCAGGGTATTATGCACCAGCACCTCAAGTCGTCAGCGTCGTCCCTGGTGAGCTACTCCAGCAGCATGGTGTCGCCTGCTGCCCTCAAGGCACAGATGGAGCAGCTGCAGGCGGCCACGCCTTCCAGACACAGGGCCAACGGCTCATTGGCCGAGGCTGACCTGCCCACCAGGAGGAGGCGGGGCCGCAGGAAAAATGTGGAGGGGCTGGAGCTGCTGTTCATGAGAGGAGCCACGGTACGGGACTCATTACTAGAGAAATACAGATGGATAAAGTTTTGAATTATTAAAGGATGGAAAAGTAACATTTTTGTAAAATGCCCTGAACATTGTACGGATTGGATATTTTTGGGAAAAGGCATGATATCTCAATTAGACTAAACTACATTCAAATAAATTTGATAGGAATGAAAACATCAAATTACACTGAACAAAAATACAAATGCAACTGTAAAGTGTTGGTTCCGTGTTTCATGAGCTGAAATAAAGATCCCAGAAATGTTCCATACGCACAAAAAGCTTATTGATCTCAAATTTGGTGCACAAATTTGTTTACAACCCTGTTAATGAACATTTCTCCTTTGTCAAGATAATCCATCCACCTGACAGGTGTGGCATATTAAGAAGCTGATTAAACAGCATGATCATTGAACAGGTGCACCTTGTGCTGGGGACAATAAAAGGCCATTCTAAAATATGCGGTTTTGTCACACAACACAATTCCACAGATGTCCAAAATGTTGAGGGAGCGTGCAATTGGCATGCTGGCATGCTGACTAAATGAATGTCCACCAGAGCTGTTGCCAGATAATTTAATGTTAATTTCTCTACCGTAAGCCACCTCCAACGTCGTTTTAGAGAATTTGGCAGTACATCCAACCGGCCTCACAACCGCAGACCATGTGTATGGCGTGGTGTAGCTCAGTTGGTAGAGCATGGCGCTTGCAACGCCAGGGTTGTGGGTTCGTTTCCCACGGGGCGCCAGTATGAAAATGTATGCACTCACTAACTGTAAGTCGTTCTGGATAAGAGCGTCTGCTAAATGACTAAAATGTAAATGTGTGGGCGAGTGGTTTGCTGATGTCAACGTTGTGAACAGAGTGCCCCCCATGGTGGCGGTGGGGTTATGGTATGGGCAGGCATAAGCTACAGACAACAAATACAATTGCATTTGTATACAACGAATCGATGGCAATTTGAATGCACAAAAATACCGTGACGAGATCCTGAGGCCCATTGTGAGGCCAATTGTTTTTAAGGTATTTGTGACCAAAATATGCATATCTGTATTCCCAGTCCATAGATTAGGGCCTAATTTATTTATTTCAATTGACTGATTTCCTTATATGAACTCAGTAAAATCGTTGAAATTGTTGCATGTTGCGTAATTTTTTTTCCAGTATATATTTTTGATGCAAAAAATATATATAATAAATACTCAATATTATGATTAAATTTTACATGGTAATGAACAAATAGCTTCTCCTGCCTTCCCCCAACAGGAGGATTCCGAGAGGACCAAAGCTTCAGTGGAGGGGGTGCAGATGCCCCCACGTTCCCACCGCCACAACATTCCCAGCACCTCCGCCCGTGTCCCCTCTGTCAGCGCTTTAGAGGACGGGGAGGCTGGTACCCCCTCTAACAAAGACCTGAGGGACTGGCTCAGACAGCACCCCACATACACCATGGACATGCCTACTGCATACACACCAGTATGTACTTGACATGTTTTTTTGTATACAATATTTTTATCAGATTTCCCTATCCAGTGGAACTATCCATCAATGTCGAATATGACTTACCCCTTACCTTCAACCCCCTGTTCCCTATCCTAAATCAAATCTTTCAGTGATTCAATATAACATTTAGCTATTCCATTTTATAACAGTTGTAGTATATTATGAAGTGTGAAAGAACCTCAGACGTCTGGTCCTGTCATGGTTCCTAAACCCTGTCCCCTCTCTCCCGTCTCTTAATGTAGAAGAGTGAGGAGACGCTCCTCTCCTCCCAGTTCCCCAAACCCAAGCAAAAGAGACACCGCTGCCGGAACCCAAACAAGATCGACATCAACACACTCACCGGAGAAGAGAGGGTTCCTGTGGTCAACCGGAGAAACGGAAGAAAGGTATGGGCTCATTTCGGTACAGAAAGGTTTGGGCTCATTTCAGTACAAACCAATCAAATTATCTTTTTCACAAATGCATTGGTCGCCGTTCAGCAACAGTTTCAAACACCTAATTTGGCATTCAATTCATAGCTAAACTGAAGGTATTGGTAGCTTCTGAACCATTTTGTTCCTCTTTCTTTCCCAGATGGGTGGAGCCATGGCACCTCCCATGAAGGAACTGCCCAGATGGCTCCTGGAGAACCCAGATTTTGCCATTGCTCCTGACTGGACTGACATTGTCAAGCAATCGGTGAGTCACTTGTCCTTCTCCCGTTTAGCCGTCAAATGATTTCAATCAGCACTTGTTTTAGATTTTGACCTTATCTGATGGAATCTGAACAAGTAGTTTGAACTCTGTTTGAGCAGAAATTGATGCCTAATCACTAAATTGTAATTGTCTGCCATGAGTGTAACGTCGAACTAATCGTGGTCTCCTCTCCCCTCCTTAGGGCTTCCTCCCTGAGGCCATGTTCGACCGTCTCCTGACTGGGCCCGTGGTGCGTGAAGAGGGCGTCCGTCGTCGGGGAAGACGTCCCAAATCGGAGATTGCCAAGGCAACAGCGGCTGCTGCGGCAGCAGCCCAGGCTGCATCCTCCGGAGGCCTTAACCCCCTGCTGATAAACGGCCTGTTTGGAGGCATGGACCTCACCAGCCTGCAGGGCCTACAGAGCCTCCAGAGTCTTCAGCTTCAGCTCATGGGCTTCCCCGGCATGGGGGGGACCGATGCTAAACACGCCTCGGCCATGCTGCCTCTCATGCTGCCTGGCATCGCTGGCATGGCTGGTATGGGCGGTCTGCCCAACATGTTTGGCCTGGGAGGCCTGTTCGGAAGCAACCTGGCTGCAGCCGCCTCAGCTGCAGCCACCCCTGCTGCAGCCTCCAACGGCACCAACGACGAGGGCGATTCAGACGAGACGTCGAAGAGAGACTCCAGGGAGGGTGGAGAAGCGAGAGATGAGGAGAAAGAGGACACCGGGGAGGAGGCAGAGTCGAGCGAGGCTAATGGGGATGCCGCGGCTCTGAACATGGCTGCTGCCGCTATGGCCGCCTCTGGCATGTCTGCTAACTCCCTGGCCTTCAACCCCTTCCTGCTGTCCACCATGGCCCCGGGGCTCTTTTCCCCCTACATGTTCCTGCCCCCTGGCCTGGGAGGTCTCACCCTGCCTGGCTTCCCCCACACTGCCCTGGCCGACCTGCAGAGTGCCATGGCTGGAACAATTGGGGCCGCCTCTGGAGCTCAGGGCCAGGAGAAAGAGCCCAGCCAGGTTGCCCTGGACTGCCCTGATGCTGCTACCGCAGACCCAGAGACTGCTGATGACAGTGACTCAGCTGAGAGCCTGGAGAAGACTGCAGAGTCGTCTGCGCTAGAAGACGAGGCCTCCGCATTGGCCGAGGAAGCCGGCTCGCTGGAGGACCTGGCGGCCGAGGAAGAGGAGGAAGGAGAGGATGCCCCTGAGGAAGAGAAGAGTGACTGAAACTAACTGGCCTTTGACCCCCCCCCCCCCCCCCCCCCCCCCCCGAGTGCTCTCACGACACGTTTACACACCAACTTGATATCCAAACATATATTAATTTGGTTTTTCTTTTCATTGTTTTTGTTTGACAGGTAAAACATTTAATCGGGGAGAGCATATGTAGCTAAAGGGCTCTCACTGTATTGTTAATAGCGTAGTCAGGGAAAAAGCTAACTGAAGTAGAGTTTTGCGGATCTCAAAAGGGTGTTATTTTTGGTCTTTGTGCACTGAACGGTGCATTCTAGATGAGATGGGAAATTTCCTCAAATATTATTATAGGAATTAATCGTTCCAATAGTGCTATGCTGCTTTTCTGTTTCATTTATTATTAATTTGTTTGTGTGGATATTGTGACAGTAAGTAGCATCTCGTAACTCTCCAGTGGCGTACAATTTAACGGCATTAAGCGTCTGTCTATATGCTGCTGATGAAAAGGATCATGGGTCATTTTGATTTTGCTGTTGTACTGTTCTGCCTTGAAGAGCAGGATGAAGTCCTCACATATCAGATGGCCTAATAATCTGACTGTTCCCAGTCTCACACTGACGATCTCACACACACTTGATTCTCATACACACGTCTACACACACACACACACACACATCCGACTGTTTCTTCCTGTAGTCTTACACACTAACAATCCATTCTCTGACTGTTCCCCCTTCTCAATCGGACAGTCCTACCCTCACCCTCCAACCGCTCCTCTCCCAGTCTCTGAAACAACCCCGTTAACCTTCTCGGTGAAACTCTTTCCAGTACCAGTTTTCTGCCTACTAATAACACCCATATTGTCTGATTCTTCCAAGTCACATTGGTTATAGAAACAGTTTTCCAGTTTCAGACACAGACCGATGACCCTGACTCTCCTGACTGTTTTTAGTCCGACACTGACAAAGCCGAGCAGGGGAGAGACCTCTCTCCCACAACGCGGAGGGAGACCGCAATAACCGAAGGCAGCTTTTGAATGTTTCAAACATCGCTCTCCCATTAAAACACAACTACAACCACAAGTGTTGGTGAAAAAGAGAAACTAAATCGCATACAAACGATGACATTAAAAAGTTCTGCAATCAATTTGTCTCACTCTATTCCTGTTGATGCACTGGTGTAAGAGTAAAATAATCAGGTACCTTTATCTTTTGAATGGACTTTTTGTTACTTTTAGCCACCAAGCTGAACAGCATTACCTCAATTCTAACTAGCCTTGAAGTTTACAGACATACGTTGTAAATGTTTTTTTTTGTGTGTCTGTTGTTTTTTTGGAACATCATGTATGATGAACTGTAGTTATGATGCTTTTAATAAAAGTGAATCATGATATTCGCCTAGGAAACCAAACCCGGAGTGCTTGTTGTGACTGTTTTTGAATTGGATGTTAAATGTAGATGTCTATTTTGAGTGTTAAATGACGTTGGTTGATTCATGGTGGTGATATTGTTAGAAAGCAGCAGAAAATGAAGTAAATACCCCCAGAATCTGAAAATAAAGGTTTTTTTAAGTGCAGATGGACCACTTTTCGCCAAATGTGTTCATTGCTTCTGTCTACTACAAATATCCACTAACAATTCAATAAAATCCACTACATTCAATTAAAGAATCACATTTCAGAAATATTTAATTTCATAGTGTAATAATTGTCTGCACATGTTGTAATTTTGCAAAACACTAGAACAGCCACACTATCCATCAACCCTACAGGAGGAAAGAAGGGGACACTTACTGAGAGACGTTGACTTTAGCTGCGTGCCAGCTCTCCTCTGACCTGATCAGAAGGTCTTTATAGGTGAAAGAAATCTCATACAACCCTAATTAGTCCTTTTATCTTTATAGTCATGAGAAGGAGCCAATGTGAATGTAGCAAGGCCATTTGAGAATTTGACCAGTCATTGAGTCTTAAGGGTAACACACTTGGATTCTTACTGGGATGTTCTTCTAACACATGCCTCATATGATATGGTCTTTCAACAGATGCTTCCAAAGCAGTACAGTGCATTCGGAAAGTATTCAGACCCCTTGACTTTTTCCACATTTTGTTACGTTACAGCCTTTTTCTAAAATGGATTATATTTAAGAATAAGGCTGTAATGTAACAACATTTGGAAAAAGTCAAGGGAAGGGGTCTGAATACTTTCCGAAATGTACTGTACCTAAAGACCAAATGCTGCTGTTTTTATTTTAATATAAAATATTTTCTTGGTAACAATTAAGTACCTTACTACAATCGATTTCTATTAAAATGTGGGGGGGGGACTTTCTCAAGCAATACTTTTTCTAGGACTGTCTGGGAGTGGTCTGAGTGGGGAGAGGAAAACTCGAAACTAGCTGTTATTGGCAGAGAAGTTTGGAACTCTGTCATTTACCGCATGGTGATGTCACCATGGAATGCCGAAACTTCCGCCCATGCAAACCTGCTGATTAGAAGGTCCTGTGTAGATTGTATTTTCAACCAGCAACTATCAGGAAATAACACTTTTTTTTAATCACACTTTTACAGTGTTAGTTTCATCAGCTGTTGTACAATATGATATAAAACACAGAACATCATTTTGACTGCACTGGGCCTTTGAACATATTTGGCCCATGCAGGAATCAAATCTACGATTTGTGCTCCAAACACCATGCTCCAACCAACTGGGCCATTGGAGGCCCCATATGCTGGCTGGTGGGGCCGAGGCACAGGGGTAGGAGAGAGGCGGGGTAGGGTTAGTGGGAGACACTACAGTGCTACCGGGGGGGCTGTCGGTCTGGTAACTCGGTCAGTCATCATAAATGGCAGCTCTCCCAATGGACCTGCTGATGTGACACACACTGACAGGAGGGGCAGACGAGGCAGCCCATGTGGTGGGGAGTTGGGAGACCCTGTGTGTGTTTACTCGAGCGGATGGAGAGGAGACTGGATGGAGGACTGGTTTTCCCCTGACAGACATCTCTCATAATCGTGCTCTCTCGATGAATTGGGTCGTGAAATACATAGTTCTCCCGTGCTTTCCCAGCATGCATTGTGTCTGGGAAGCTTTCCGTGTTAGACAGGGACACTTGAACAGGAAAAATTAACAAAATCACATTTTTATTCAGTCCTTGGTTATTAAAAAAAAAAAAAAATCTAATCAAATTGTATTTGTCACATGCTTCGTAGCCAACAAGTGTACACTAACAGAAATGCTTACTTATGGGTCCTTTTCCAACAATGCAGAGTTAAGGATGACAAAAAGGAAATAGTGACACAAATAAATACACAGTGAATAATAAATAAAGAGTAAAAATAACATGGCTATGTACACGGGGTACCAGTACTGAGTCGATGTCCAGGGGTACGAGGTAAATGAGGTAGCTATGTACATATAGGTAGGGGGAAAGTGACTAGGCAACAGGATCGACCATAGACAGAGCTGTAGAAGCAGGGTATGTGGTGAAAGTGTGTGTGTGAGGTATTGGTGTGTGTGGCGTCAGTATTCATATGTACGCATGGTATGTGTGTGGGCGTGTATGTGTGTTGGGGTGTAAGTGAGTGTGTGGATAAAGTCCAGTGTACAGTGGGGGGAAAAAGTATTTAGTCAGCCACCAATTGTGCAAGTTCTCCCACTTAAAAAGATGAGAGAGGCCTGTAATTTTCATCATAGGTACACGTCAACTATGACAGACAAATTGAGAAAAAAGAATCCAGAAAATCACATTGTAGGATTTTTTATGAATTTATTTGCAAATTATGGTGGAAAATAAGTATTTGGTCACCTACAAACAAGCAAGATTTCTGGCTCTCACAGACCTGTAACTTCTTATTTAAGAGGCTCCTCTGTCCTCCACTCGTTACCTGTATTAATGGCACCTGTTTTAACTTATCAGTATAAAAGACACCTGTCCATGATAGATTAATTTGTATTTTAAGCTTAATGACTAAAGGATTTCACCCCAAATACAGTATAAAATGTGTAAACAATGTTACAATCATCATGTAGTGTCAACCCACTAACAGAGGGGGCGGTACTAAACATTCAAGGGTGAAGGGGAAGGCGGAAACTGTTTAGAAAAGCCACCTAAAGGTGGGAGGAGTCAAGTTCAGGAGGTATAAAACCGTATGTATGTGTTTTTGGCGTCAGAGCTCTCCATGAATAAAAATACAGATAATCCTTGTGGGTTGTGGACCTTGAATCATTGATGATTAAAACCAGAGCCTTACAACCTCTGGGAATGACTCAAGCTTAGGTCATGACTGTAAGTCGCTTTGGATAAAAGCGTCTGCTAAATGGCATATTATAGGTTGAATTAGAGATAGAAATTATCTTAACAGTGTGGTCCTTTCGAGCGGAGCTTAATACGTCTTTGTCGTTCTAGAAACACCGAAACCGTGCACGGGCGGGTGATTGCATCCGTGAAATAGTCCTGGCCTTCGACGTTAAGGTTATAAACAGGCCGGTGATTACTCTTATGAACGAAAAAGACGTTAACAAGTTTGAAAAAGCATTTAAATCCAAACTGCAAGGAAAAGTAATTTTTATTCATGGATTTTGGTGAAATGATTTGAACTTGTATGAGAATAGTAATTATTGTGGAGGGCAGAGAATAGTTACCAAAATCTCAAAGGAAGTAATAATTATTACTAAACGGGGAGGGTCCGTAATAGAAATTCTCTTAACAGTCCACAACCTCAAACAGTCACACTCCAAACTCCACTATGGCCAAGACCAAAGAGCTGTCAAAGGACACCAGAAACAAAATTGTAGACCTGCACCAGGCTGGGAAGACTGAATCTGCAATAGGTAAGCAGCTTGGTTTGAAGAAATCAACTGTGGGAGCAATTATTAGGAAATGGAAGACATACAAGACCACTGATAATCTCCCTCGATCTGGGGCTCCACGCAAGATCTCACCCCATGGGGTCAAAATGATCACAAGAACGGTGAGCAAAAATCCCAGAACCACACGGGGGGACCTAGTGAATGACCTGCAGAGAGCTGGGACCAAAGTAACAAAGCCTACCATCAGTAACACACTACGCCGCCAGGGACTCAAATCCTGCAGTGCCAGACGTGTCCCCCTGCTTAAGCCAGTACATGTCCAGGCCCGTCTGAAGTTTGCTAGAGTGCATTTGGATGATCCAGAAGAGGATTGGGAGAATGTCATATGGTCAGATGAAACCAAAATAGAACTTTTTGGTAAAAACTCAACTCG